GTCGGATTACTACTGTTTGCAGTTGAACAGAAAAGAAACTGAAGCCAATGGCAACGGTAGTCATATCATAGTCCATCTACAGTCAAACGAGGACTGGAGAATGATTTTAAAATCTCATTCTGTTCGAAGTCCAGTCGTAGTTTCAGTCGACTGCAACTGTAACCAAACAGGGACAATCTTAGAACATAGTTCAACTGCAACAGAACTACGGATTTGAAATCAACCATGGTTTACAAAGGCAAAGCCACAGAAGGAACCAAATCGAAGGAGAAAAACTCTCGCGTCATGTGCCAGAAAAGTGAAGGAATTCTCATATATGTCGTAGGCAATACCCTTACTGGTTACGATTAGCAAGGCTCGGAATCGCTTTAACATTGGCGGTCACAGTATTTAGCCTATTTGTCTCGTAAACTCGTAATTTTTATCCTTTTGAGTTACCAAAACGTACTATTATTCAACAATACTGTGATAGCGGTAAGAAGTTGTTGCAATAAGGTGGAACGGCAAACATTCCCCTGGAATCGTTGTCTTAATAGATTTTTTATTTGAATGAATCATGAAACAACTGATGTGGAAAATTATTTCTCATACATCGTAAAGTGGAAGGAGGAAAGGTCTGATAATATTCCGAGATCGATAAGTTGTCGTTTTAGAAAAATATTTGAAATGCTACTTCGGGCGTGCAAAATAAAAAAAAGTTCGGCAATAGGTAGACACTTCATGGACATCACGTATTAGTCGTTCTCGATCCGAGGTACTTCCAATTGCAAAGTACCATTTTTCACTTTTCTTATGAGAAGAAATAAGAGCTTGATGGGGACAGGCAATATTTCACCGCATTTGTCAATGATGGACAGATCCCTTGAAATTTCATCCATGTGGAACCAAAGGTTATGCTGGAGCGCTAAGATTGACATGAGGCCATTGGCGAAGTTTCTCCCCTCCAAAGAGTCCTTTTCCTGGCATATGTCTCAGGAGCCGAGCGATGAGCGTCCTCCTGAACCTTCCTTAAATGATCTGCTGGGAGATGGACCTCTTCAAGTTTTGGATAATTCAGGTGATATTCTTCCTCATTTGTGTACTCCTTCAGCGAACCCTTCGGTTGCGCATTCAAAACAAAATCTTTAGAAATAGTCAATCTTTGACAAATGAGGTGACGATTTCCCAGTTTCCATCAAATACGTATAGGATGATTTAAAAGTGACTCGAATTTTTCTACAGTGTCGTCCGAACTGTCGGCTTCTTTAAAGCATTATGGTTTGACATGTCTGTGTGGTCAAACAGAATTCCGAAGAAACAAAAAGATGTAAGAAATATTTAGCTTTAATCCTGGGCACCCGATTGTGTTAATTGAGCATTGTGTCAGCAAAGGCAAGCAAAAGGAATTCCGTAAAATCCCAGAACTAAAGCGGGAATGCAACACCGAGACCGATGTTGTCGTTGGTCGATGTTCGTTTCACCAATTATTTCGCGTGGCATCTGAGCACGTCAATGGATCCATAAAGCATTGAAAAATATATATATATAGTTTTGGCTGTAGTTCGGAAGCGGTATACCACGAGGAGTGCAGTTTTCAGCCGTAACGACAGTATGTCCCACTGCTGTACAATATACCTTTTCATTATCACCTAACCGACGTGAGACCGCAACCGTGGGAAATGAAATACCCAAACTGGGAGGGGGGGGAGTCCCAGTCTCAGAAACAGCAACGGTTAGTATCGTCAATCGAGACAGGTTGAGACAGGAATTATTTACGTGCAGAGTGGTGAACCCATGGAATGCGTTAACTGACGAATTAGTGGTTGCCCCTTCTGTGATTATCTTTAAGAAGAAACTGGATGCTTTCGTGGACAGGCAAAAATGTGGCAATGTTGAATGTAAGTACTAGGCAGCATGCAACAAGGATACACGAAAAACATCCGAAAATACAGAAATATTTAGCTTTAAGACGATTAGGCATACCCTAAAATTAGGGGACGTTGGACGTTGCACGCGATCTCGAAATGTGTTTTATCGCCTCTTGATATCACTAACTGCCTTGATGCCTTACTACATCAGCTCATACGAATGAAGGATGACATGCACCATGCAGCAAACAGCAGTCACGACTTCCAAATAACTTTTTTTTACTGCAAGCTCGCCATCCCATAGATTATACTTTGTTTTTTTTTTTTTGCCAATGTGAATGCGATACGGGAAAACAATAGAACCTTTGAAGAACTCTCTTGCTCGTCAGCCTCCTTGCGTCGTTCGTGATCGCTTTCATAGGTATGAAGATGATATAAGCAGTGACAAAAGAGCAGATCTTCATGCAGTTCAGAAACTCTGCAATTTCATGGATGGACCTCCACAAAAACTACGATTTTCAATGGGTCCTGTAGAGCTCATTACCTTTCTTCAGCGCCTTCCAACGACAAAATTCAACCGTCTCCTCTTCCTCTCTGAGAGCTACAGGAGGAACGATATTTGATTTACTTCTTCCTCTCTGAACACAGAATCGCTCCATCAAATTTCTCTCCCCAGGCTTGCTAAGTTCACTGAGTCTCGCTTTTGGCAGATGTGAATCTCATTCGGGTATTTTTTTTTCACCCACCTGGGGAGCCACACCTGGGAAGTTTTTGGAGAAAGTGAACTACCAAATTAAAGTATTTCAATCCTACACTTTATTTAATGAATTTTTGCCAACAATGTAACCTTTAGAGTCTACTATGTTGCATCTGGAGAGAAAAATTGGACTGGCACTTGATATCAGCATGGAAAAAGTGGTGTTATTATTGTTGACTCATAAATGTTTGTGGATTTTTGATAGTGTTCTCAGGAAGTGAAATATTTGGTCAGTGCTTGAAATATCTTTTTTGGAGTCGAACTTCGGGATGTCTAGAGGAATGGTTTCCAAACTTCATTATATTGCGACCCATTTGCTGACGCTCAAAAAATTTGCGACCCAACGTAAACCAGAAGGCGTTATTTTGAAAGTGATTTTGATGTGAAGAAAACAGATCACCCTTTCCTGCATGGCATGGACAATCCTCAGCAAATGCATTGATTTTTTATACAGGGAAAATTTACGCGACACACCTCGATGCCTCTTGCGACCCACTAGTGGGTCATGACCCACAGTTAGGAAACCTCTGTTATGGAGCTTTTGGAAAACGTACCAAACCAACATCTGCAGATCTCTACAGGTGAAGATCATCTGCCTTGAAGGGGACCACTTCTGTCCTCATGGTACGCTTCATCATTCTGGCCAAGAAATGTCTAAAAGTCCCAAAATCTCAAGAATTCCTTGAAAACAACACAAAAAATAAAAAGGATCAGGTTATATTTAATAGGATTTGGCAAGAACTTTAGGAGTGCCTGTCATACTATGGAACCAAAGCATTAGGGCTATAACAGGTTGTAATCCTAGAAATGGAGAAATGGGTGCAGTTTTGAAGATGTCCCAGGCTTTATGGTGTCATTTTCCCTGATATGACTTGTTTCAATCTTGCCACAAATGTTCTGGGTCCAATGTAGATTGATACAAAATTGTAGGCATTTGTGAAGACTGTGCTGTGAAGGGGTGGAGGAAAAAATTTAATAGTGTATTTTCATAAAGATATGACAATAATTCTACATAATAAAATTTTGGTAGAAATTCTTTTGGGAATGAAAGATTTTAAAGGAGTTACACATACGTCTCTCTAAGTACTGTTATTTACAGTGTTGAACATGTTAGAGGGACAGAAAACACTCATGGGCCACTAAATCAGGGATCACTGACGCTCATGGAGATATTGCAACTTCCAAAAAAGTGTCTTTCGGCATGGGTCTTTCCTGTCCAAGTGTGAAAAGAGGTGAAATGTAATTGTCTCTAAGTCAGACTCTTCTGTAAAAATAAGGAATTGTATTCTCTTTCTTTATTTCTGAGAGTCTCAGGGTATGAGGAAAATAATTCCTAACCTGAAAGGTAGAAGAAAATCCCTATCATATCAGAGAAAATTTGGCTATCTTACTATCGTACTCACTGAGGTTGGGCGTAGGCCTAACCCACAGAATGATGAAAAATCTGGCCTAAGATGGACTCTTTTTTATTATTGAAACGAATGTCGCACTTATTTTGACTTTAGTGAGGAAAATGCGATGAAGAGAGGAATTTCATTTCTTCCTTGAAACCTTTGTTCTCTCTTTGCTAGAAACGTTTCTTTTCATTAATTGGATACAATTTCCCGAATCGTCATCACGTAATGAATTAAATGTTCATATATTTTCTCATGGAGTTGCGAGAATCACTTCGGGAATAGCACACGGTATTGAATTCTCTTGATCATTTTTATATTAAAAATGATCACATTCCTATTAATATCGTCATTATTGTTATTGACGCTAAAAAAAATATTTTTGAATGCGGAAGGATTTTGACTCGCTGAAACGGGAAAAAAGGTGGAGAGAAAAGAGAAAATTTGAGAAGGAAGAAAATCCTTGTTCAGCCTCATTCCCATCATCATTTATTTCACCGAAATGAAATTTCAAGAAAAAAATTATTCCCATTTTCTGGTGCATGTTTCCCGAAATCAAATTTTTTTGCTGATGGAAAAAATTTTTTAGACGTGCGTGATTAGAAATTAATTAAATCCGGTGAATGAAGTCAGAAATCTTCTTTATTTCTAGAAAATGAGTGGAAGTAGCGGGAGGAAGGAATCGTTGATCCCTTTTTCAAAAAAGGTTCCTAATTACAAAATAAATGAAAGGAATTGGATTTCTTGCGTTTCTCGTCATATCAAATCGATTCATTTCCTCAATTCATCATTCGGGAAGCTCGAAGGAAACCACTGATGTCATATTTCTTGATAATTTCCCATTTTGTTCCATCAAACACTTCCACTGATGAATTTCGATATCCTCCAACAGCATACAAATTTCGCTTCCAACATATCAGTCCGTGACATTCCCGTCCTTCCATCATGCTTGGCCCCTCCCGCCACGAATTTCTTCTTCTATCATACAGGAACACCGAGTTTTTATTTCGAAATCCCCCATCCTAGAGAAGGTGATCTTGGTGAGGTGAGACGGCATGGTTGAATCTTTCTACCGGGAGGGGAGCCAGTTCTTCGAGACGTACGGAGATCCAAACGCTCATGTTTATCACTGTTTGGCATTCCTCCAATGACGTGGAGGCAAGAGTCCTCATAACACGCTCCTAGCGAACTCCTTTCATACTTCATATCACTGAGTCGTATCCATTCCCCCGAGAAACGAAATACACTTTTTTGAACTTTATTCTTTTGATTGCTCCCACCGCAGATGAATATGGATCCGGAGGAAACTGCAGTCGCCGCGCATTTAAGATACTCCGGTGGCTTGGGCCCTTCCTTCCATTCCCTCTTCTCGAGGTCAAACATCTTCATATGACCCTCCTCTGTCACATACATTTTCCTGTCTATTCCTGCAAAGGCATAATAAACACTCAAAGGATAGTCCGTGATTTCATCCAATTCCCAATTATGAGGATTCATGCGGTAGATCTTCCCGTCGAAGTTCATGCTCCAAATAGAATCGAGCGTCGTTCGATGTCGAGTTTTCTCCTTAGGAACGGTATGACGGAGCTCCGGAACATGGTAGTCCCTCGCGTCCGTGATGGCACCGAGGCATCGAGCATCTCCGTACATGATCGGGTCTTTGAGTAACACTGATTTTAGGTATTCGTACGGAAGGAGTGGGAGACGGATTTTGTCCAGGAGATCCGGTAAATGGCGTTTCCGACTCGAATCGTGATGCAGCCATTTCCGTGCCGCATCGTACACTTCCTTCTCCGAGGAAACTCCCAGATCGTCTCGATTCAAGAATGAAGACAGAGTCTCGAAGGAGATACTGATGAATTCACTCGTTCCCACGACTTTGCTGAAAGAGCCAGAAATGAATTCGACGGCAGCCTCTCGCAAGTCTTGGTACCCGTATTCCTCCGCAATCTTGAGGATACGAAAAGCATTCTCCGAATCCATGAATGTCTTCATGGTCGTGCTAATTCTTTTACAGAAACGTTTCATCCCGAGAAAATGTGCATCCAGAAGAGTTGCAATAGCTTCTTCTTCCCCTTCCACTGCGACTTGCGTCCCATGTATATAATCCCAAACCGAATTGAATCCGACCTTGCTGGATCCTTCTAGCCTGATCTCTCTCTCGGAGACGTCTTTGAAGTCGGTAGTGAATAATTGTCGAAAATAGGGAGAGACGGAAGCGAGTATGCCTTTACAGGAGTAGAATTTGGTGCCTTGGACGAGAATGATGACGTCACACCAGGAGGGTCCGGTCTTGAAGGACGCGGAGATGTCCTTTGCAAGGCCAATATGATCGTCCAAGTCTTTCTCGATCACGATGGTTTTCTTCCTCGGTGCTGCAGAAGCCATTCTTTGAATAGGTTTGGCGGGACTCTCAAGGAATCGAAGGAAGATGACTCTCAGAGATTTCACTGGATCTGTGGATGTTAAATTCNTCAGTCACGCGCAATAGGAATGGCGTCAGACTTCGGGCGCGAATTCGTTCAAGAGACACTAGCGCTCTGCTCCAGGAAGCGTTGACGTTAGTTCGAGGGCCAACCACCAGGGCATAGACCGCCATTGGGGTTACCCTGCTTTCGCGCAGAGTGTCCAGTCTTCTTAGTATAAGGTCTTTGGTCTTCTCTTCTCTTAAACTATCCAAATTGAGAGACTTTTGAGTTTTTAAAGACTGCCGTCTTGCATTTCCTTTTCCCTCTTTTGTATTTATTGTGCCATTTTCTCATCTCTTCATTTGGTATCCATCGATTCTTGATTTTCTGTCAATTTACTTGTTCAGATTTTTTTCCCGTTTTCATTTCATAAAAATGTGCTTTTTTCATTCCCATTTATATTTTTGTAAAATAAATATGCTTAGTTTCATATTTTCAAATCTGTGGATGAGCGTGTGGTTGGATGCAAAAAATTGTCAGAAAATACAGTACCTCTGAAACAATAGGTCGATTATTGGATTTTGGAGTTGTTACTTGGTCTATCAGGAGCAAATTTATGTTTTTGTTGTATACTTTTTTGCCTACAATCCAAAACTGCAAATGTACATATCTGAAATATGATAAGGCATGGGTCAAAACCGCAGAAGCAAGAATCCCATAACCTCAGGGAGAATGGCTGGGTTCCTGGATCCAGTTGACCTTGTCGAAGCGAAATGAGCCCCCCCCCCCCCCAATTTCACAGTTGGGGGGGGGCTCATTCGGGGGGACTCTCCCAGCTTTACGCTGGGAGAGTCGCCTTTCTCCAAGTGAGTGCACGCATGAATTTCCAAAGAACCAAAACGGACAAAAGCGAGGGCTGCATCGTATGCCAAAATAATAAGTTCAGAAAAGTCTATTCAGGTAAATAGAAACTCTAGCGATGAGCAAGTCGAACTAATTACAAAGGAAAAGTCAAAGTTAATTTTGAAGAAACCCAATAATCACAAATACATCTTAATGAGAAGTTTCTAATCATCCAGCCCTGGACTCGCATGAAGTAGAAAACTACGCGATTGGATTTCATGAAGTACTGTATGTCAGCTACCACTTCAAGGGGAAGAAGCTAGAGCTAATTAAGGGTCCCATTATTTCAATTTAGTTCAGCGCGAATATGAGCTGCTGTTATCAACTTCCCAGCTGCTGGATATTCAGCTTGCCACGCACATCCGCTAGTTTTATTTCATGTGGCGAAAATTCATTTTACAGGAAATTCTCTGATATCCCCCAATACCCGATCCCCAGTGCTGGAGCGATTTACAACTTCAGCAACACTGGGGATTAGGCATTCGGCCATGAAAATATCCTATGATTACGAACCGTATTTTCTTCGGTTTTGGTATAGTAGCTTTCTTCGGTTTTGGATGGTGATTTGCGGTTTTGGATCCTTTCGCATTTTTTTTTGGAAATGCCGAGCTCTAACTTTTGGAAATATTAGGTCCGGGAAAAAGTATCCAGAACTTTTTGTGTGTTAGGCTTGAGGGGTATGTACCGCGCAGCCTAAGCTTGTTATGCGGCTATATCATATATGAAATGAAAGAGGCTGAAAAGCTCTGTAAAATTTTGCATATCTGCCGTGTATAGCTTTCAGGCAAAAGTTTAACCGCTCGATTGAAAAATGCGGCTCGACGACCACATCCATCATTGCTTACTTCTTCAATTCGATAAGGGGCGCAACGCGAACGACGCGGTCCGTCGCATGAATAAGGTGTGTGCAAGAAGCTGTACTCGAACGAAGGTGCACTCAAATATGCACTTGGTTTCTTTGGCTCACGAGATGCGGTTTTTTGGGAGAGAGGAATCGATTCTCTTAAGGAAAGATGGGAAAAAGTTCTAAATTGTGAGGGAGATTATTTTGATTTATAGAATTTGTTACATAAAAAGTTACAGCTTATCAAAGATATGGGTCAAAAAGTTCCGGATACTTCTCACCAGACCTAATATTTCGATTAACGCGAAAAAGTCATTAAGAACCTTTGGAAAGGAACGTAATCCGATTTGGGAATGATTGAAATGCACAAAATGATTCCAAGTGGCACATGGATATTGGCCCTCAGCAACGTTTAAGGAAGAAAGCTGATGGCCCACCATCATTACTAGGTCGTTAGGCAATAGTTGCACGTCCCGCTTGCTGCCACAGGCCCACCACCTTCCGGAGCGCAAGGGCCCAGCACATTATCAGGTAGCTCGTTTTGATCTACCAGCAGCTGAGAAGGGGCGTGATGCCCCCATGCATATCCGATTCGCCTCTACAACAAGGAGTTCTTGCGCACTTAAAAAGAGTACCCCATATAGCGTCACAACACGGCTATAGTATACACGCAACATTGGACATTGACCTTCAACGTCGATGACATTGTATTGACTCTAAGGGAACGTTCCCATAACGCTACAATGTTTGCTGGGTTGTTTTTTTTCCCGTCTCAACGGTTCTCGAATCTGAACTGTATGTAGAATATCGCAAATTTGTTTCCATTGCCCGATAACACACGCTTTCAAATCATTTTTCCTTCCCACTGTAAAATTATATTCATATATTTACAGGATATAACATGTTTGATATGTTTATAAGTCATTGAGTATGTTCACTTGAGCTCGATGTTTGAGATTAGGAATCCTTAATTTCTTTCATTTTCAGGTTGCAAGATCTTCTCTCCAATCTATCCATTTAAAAAAGAAATCAGTTGTCATATAAGAGAGTATATATAATGTATTTGTTCGTTTCGCCTGATTTCGACATGAACAATACATAACAAAAATATGAGAGCTCGTAAAATGCATCTAAAAATGTGGTGCACAACTTTTTCTTTATGAAGTGCTAAGGAAGATCTCGGCCCAAGTTCGACAGCCTGTGGCCGTGGAACATGAACCGAAATAGGTTGTATTATATATGAATATGGATTATTAGAGACCGGTGGCATCCAACAGGAGGCCTAAAAAAGTTATCAGCGGGCAGCGAGTTGTGGATCACAGATCTAAAATAGTAATTCTAGACCAAAGCATTTAATCGATTTCTATATCCTAAACAGGAGAAACTAATACGTGTGTACTTATTGGATGAGAGACAAGTGAATCAGATATATGCTAAAATTATTTCTTAAAATTGTTATTAGTCTATTGATTCAGCTGTTTTCAGTTGTTGACGTACGTCACAAATCTTGTTTCCGATGATGAGTTGAGGTTGGACAAACAAATACTACGGAGTATATTTTTAAAAGTACAACATGTGATGGTCTTCTTCAGAACAGAAAAAAGACTTCCTCACTGTATGGCGTCTATAGCAACAGAGACCGAAGCTAGGTGTGCACAAGGAAAAACATGGACTGATCAATACATACGAGTACGTTGCCTAGCAATATACTGTATACATGAAAATAATTAGGGTGGCAATCGATGCGACATCGCGAGTCCGCACCTCAGTCAGAATCGATTGCCATAGGTTTTCTGGATAAGACAATCAGGAACGCTACCTGCTTTGCAAAGCAACTGCTCCTTTTAAGCCATTTCGTTAAGAACGACGAATTGTTTAGTTCCCTAATCAAAGTTTTCTTCCATCCCTTGTAATATTTTAAAGGAAAGATGATTATTTTTTCCTTTGAACCTAATATTTGGATCGTATTGTATGTCACGCCCTCTTGTTTATTGTCAAACACATTACGATATTTAATATCGATAAAACGTGATATGCCATGTGATGGAATTGAGCTTTTACAATTGCGTTTGTTAATCGGTTTACTTTGACTTACTCGTATTTTAGTTTAGTGCCTTGTCCAGCACATTAACCTTGTGGAAGATTAAGTTCTGGTATATATCCCAAACTCCATATTTTGTGAAGTAATGTGAAAACCAATTTTGAATGTTTTTTTTTCTAATTCAACCCCCTCCCCACCCTTCTCTACGGGACTCAATAACGTTATGACTTGGTCTAACCAACAGACTGCTTTCATGTCACTTCGAAGGCTGCCTCTGTTCATAAAAAACCTCAATCTTCGATTTACTGGATCACTCAAGACCAAAAAATTCCCTTTTTTTACAAGGATAATCTGAGTTTTAAATTTAAGAGTTATTTTTCATGAGAAATTAGCTCACATTTGTTTATCCTCCTTTTTGTAACTTGCAGTATTTTTTATTTTCTTCATTTGCCATCCATCTTCTTTGGGTTTCTTTCTGATTTTTTTTGATAAGTCCTAGTTTTTAATGGCAATTTGATGTAAAAGTACTTCTTTTTCAATGTTTATTTTTTATGGTAAGTAAGTATGTCCGGTTTTGCCTTGTTGAGTTGCATGTGCATGTATGGGTGAATGAATATGCCAAAATTCATAGGAAGCTACCAGCTCAGTTGTATAATTCTAGTTAAGAATGGGATAGATTTTGTAAATTAGCCGATGACATTTTAATCTTAAAATCGTGTTGGGAATCGCCAATCGATTCTTAGCGTCAGTGCTGCAATTATTACTGTTGTAGAAAGCTATCAATATCAACACAGATTAGAAAATGATTCTGCTCAACACAATATCAATTTTACACCATGGCTTGTCTGTGTGTGTACCTGATGATAGATCAGTGGGTATGATTATTTTCATTGAACGTTCATGACCAATGTCACCGACCTGACATTGAATATCATTTAAATATTCTTGATTATTCAGAGTCTCACTTTCTCTGAATTTGTTTGTCTTTGAAGAATAAATAATTAAAAAGGGATTGTAACTCATCATATTGCTAAGTTTGTGCATACAATTGATAATTTTCAAAGTTATCAGCATCAGTTATGAGGAAAGAGGAAATGATTTCACTTAACCCCATTGTTTTACTAAAACAATTAGCAGAGCTTTCCACAGCATGTTTACGATGACATGGCTTTCCAGAACTCTCAGTTAATGT